GACCTAATACGACAAAAATAGTATGGATCCTTATTATGCGACAGTTAAATTGACCTGATTAGTTTATCCACAAATTAGATGAAATTTTGAGGTTTCATCAATAAATTTGGTAATTCTTCGGCCTGTAACATCTTGTTTTTGCCACACAGTGAAGCTGCACAAGCAACATGAGCGCTCTATCATAGTTCAATAAGCTTAAAACAAGATTAAACTCACATGCACTTCAAAATTGAAAAACGGGGCGGGTCCCAGGCGAGGCTGGCCTGCAGGTACTCGGGTGTGTTCCGTCCAGCCGAAGTGATCCTCTAGACGATCCGCTACCATCTCTATAGCAGCTAATGCTTCTTCACGGAGATCCTGACCTTTGATACTGTTGTAGTCAGGCTAAAAAGATATATGTTTTAGCTTAGAGAGAACAATTTGGACGATGGTTGCTGCAAAACCAATAAATTACCTATTCGCATACTCAGATAAATATTTCATTTCAAACTCATTGCAATTTGACCGCGGTTAATTAAGTAATTTCTCTCCATATGCTTGCACACATTTCTTTACTCTACTTTGCTTCACTTGTAAGAATTTCATGTTTGCTCTTCCGATTTCAAACTTTCTTTTTCACCATCATCCCTATCAACACAACCCATTTTAGCGGAAGAAAGGTCTTCAGTTTGATGCCTTCATTATCTCTTAATGCACTTTTCCCAATGCAGGCGGCTTCATTAAGCCTGACTAATATATCCTCGTGTCTATTTAACATGGATTCAGTGATGCGTATACAGCAAAACGACGACAGCAGAAGTCGATAGCTGCCTCATTTTGAGATGCTGTAAAGTCATCAACTTTTATGTCTCAGATCCATTTCACCGCCCTTCGCCCCTTATACACTTTCATAGTCCCAAAAGGGTGATTCGTCCAAATGCTGTTGAAAGGGCGCTGTAGAGACCCCTAGGGTCCTTTCTGTCTGAATAGTTTATAACTAGCTGTTTTCGCCCGAGTAGTTGTCATTTTCATTTTGCGTAAAACAAAATTGGGGATGCCTAGCGGACAGCCTTATAAGCAGGATTATCCTTATGCTTCCGATTTATATTTCCTTCAGTTAAGGTGTTAAGGCTTCACCTCAGCTGATCTCATGAAACTACAACTTTAGTCTGTGAACGTAATGCTGGCAAAATGCCAGAAAAACCTTATCATATGACTTATCCAAGAATCGCTATCTCACGAATTTTACAGAATTGCTTTTTATAAGGTAGTTGTCCAATCACATTAAACCAGGGAAATTGACGGAGAAACAGTGGAGCACTTACATTTATAGCAAACACAATTATAGTGACAAACTTTCGAACATAGCCTTACGTAGAAATCGATAAGCTGGCAGAATCCATTATTCAATCTATTAATAGTATGTAAGAGGTCAAGTTCCGGAACAGAGTACTCCCATTTGTTACATCATAAAACTCCGCAAGCAAACGGATGAATTGAAAACAAGGATTGCGTCCGAATGCTTAAAGGAAGTTCTAGGTTTTTCCCTCAATCGCATGCTTCATATTCCCTTCAAAGGCTGAGATTTTTAGATTCCTTCGCGCTCTTAAGCGAAATGTGTCTTTCTCTCATTCGTCTGCTTTTTCCGGATTGCCTATAGAATTTTGACAAAATAAAAGTTCAGTCTTCGCAGCGATAACAAACAGATAT